GTCACTTTAGATATATTGAAATTCTGTCGTTCATTCATGCTTTTCTGCATAACAGCATTCAAATGGGTTTGCATTCTTTGATTCGTGTTTCCTCCGATGGGCCAGCAGTGTTCAAATTTCCGGTAAATTCAAGCAGTTGTGTTCTAAAACTATAGGATTTCAGAAGTTACAGAAGTTTGTAAAATTTCCAAACATATTCAACAAATTTTCATTTTGTTTTTGCTATGCAGTTATCGAGTTACTGAAAGCTTCGAAGATTTCCGTAATTTCTTTTTTTCAGAAATCCGAACATATCTGGAAAGTCTACCATTAAATAGGATGTGCCGTATAGAGGTCTTTCTCATATGCTTGTAGAACTGTGATAGTATAATTTTTATTCGATGGCAATGATTATTCTTCAACAACAATTCTATTTTGAACAGATTCTTCTCATGGAATAACGAAGCATATTAAAGCATAATAACATCAGCGATCATTTTACTAGAACTTGCTTGACCAAATATTCATACATCAATTTTTCTCTCAAAACTTGTATATCATGGATTCCAACTCAAATGAGACGTCAACAATTGATGATAACTCTACGACTATCCCTAGGCCAGTGCGACTATGGTTATTGGCTATTGTAAACAGTGGATCAATTATATGTTTGCTCTTCCATCTTTACCATCTACTTACCAAACGTGTTCTACGAGTAGCATTAAATAACCATTCAATTATTCTTCTGATTTGTGTCATACTTGTCACTCAATTATTGGACGTTCCATCCTATGTAATCTATCTTTGGCTTGGCTATGTCTAACCTTAAACAAAATCTTTTTGTGTTTTCTGGTGGAACATCGATATAGTTACTCTTGAAGTGATGATCATGGTTATCGCTGTAGCTTCGCTGGAGAGACATATTCTCATTTTTCATGAGAAATGGTTATCAACTTCAAAAAAACGAATATTTTTGCATTATATATTCCATTTATAGTCTTTCCTGTGTATCCAATACTATTTCATGGTTTCAATCAAATTTTCGTCGTATGTGATTTTCCACTTACATACGATTACACGCAGCCATGGTGTTATTATTCTCCTTGCTTTCAATATGACTCATTTCTGTTTGATTGGCAATATTTTTTCAATTGGATGTCGATTACTTTTTGCAGTGTTGTATCTGATGTTGCTCTAATTATACGAGTTATTTGGCATAGAAGTATTCGTTTAAGACAACCGATTGTGTGGCGAAAACGTTGTAAAATGACAATTCAATTATTATCAGTTTCAGTATTCTGCTCTAGTTTTAATGCTCCTATAGTTATCTATCAAACATTGTGCACTTTTGAAGTTTTATCATTTTACGATACTAGGACTCAAGAGATAGTCTATTTTATAGGCTATTATGCAATGTTATTCCTGCCATTTGTCATGATATTTTCACTTCCAAAAGAGTATTGGTGGGGTAAATGGTGGACGAAATTGTGCGGCATACGATGACATCGACAACAAATAACACCAATAATCATGGCCGTGGGAAAAACAAAACCAATCTTAGTACGTAATATCACATGAAAGTTTGCGGACGTATTATAAGGATTTTTTAATTGTCTATTATTACATTCAAAACAATGAACTATATACGTTTCATCAACTGACTACTATCATTGCGCACAATTTTTAGTATGCGCCTGTAATTACTTGTGATTAAAAATATTTTAGATTGTACCTATGATCTTCTCAAAGATCATGCTGATTTATGTAATAACTCGATAAACTCTGATCGATGCTTTATTCCGTTTGATCTCTGTTTGAAGAATTTTTTCTTGACTTATCTCTCTTTCGCTTGAATTTTCTATTGATTGATGATAAATTATTCTTAAATTGCCAAATTGCTCAGAGAAAAAGTGATGAAATGCATATTTTCGAGACCATGCGGTTCAATATCATCTTTGTCTGTTTTCTGTTGTTATTGTGCGAACCCTAAGAAATTTTCATGGTCAAATACGGATGATGGGTGTGGGTAACTGAAGAAGAATAAATCCACATCCCAACACCCACATTCACACCCAAAAAGACACGCTAAGTGAAGTTTTTTCCATCTTGTATATCGAAGAGGCATCAAAGAAAAAATAACGAATATTCTTAGTCGCCTTGAAATATATATCAAATAGCAAAAAAGTGTTAGAAAAAGAAATAACTTGCTCGAAATTTGATATCCGTTTACTCCAAATTTATTGTATTAAAAAAAAAGTTGAATAAACTTCTATCTCTTCCGATATTCGTTTTTACTTGTCGCTGAACTTCTTCGAACTGGAGCAGACTCTATTTGCAGCTTCTTTTGTCTTACTATATTAAATGGAGAGAACATTATCAGTTGAGAAGGTTGTTTATTATTGTCTTTTCACTTCCTTTTACAAAAAAACACATAATATAAAACAGAGAAATGTATTTTGTTCATTAGTTTTTTTAGTCATTGTTATCAGATTAAGATATTTCTAGGTGTATTACAAATACTGTTTTTTTCTTTTCTTACTGAAAAGTACTCTAGTAAGTTCTCCATTGCATGTGTGCATGAAGGAAGGGACTAAGTAGAGATTTAGCATTAAGCAGATCCATGCTCTCCGAGTCTCGATCTTAAAATTTCAGATTCGACGGGTTGTAATTCACGTCCTAAACTTAAGATACTTGAAAAAACTGATATTAAAATCAAAATTTTTCTTTGAAATATCTACGGATTTTTGTCAAAGAGAANGTGTGGATGTAGATGTAGATGAAGACATAATACCCATCCCCACACCCACCCACACCCACACCCACACCCACACCCACACCCACACCCACACCGACACCGACACCCACACCCACACCCACCCCCGAGTCATTGTGAAACTAGGTTCATTTTACTATAGACATGGGTAACATAAAAAACCGTCAGTTCTCAGTGTGTTATTCAAAATTCAGTTTAGGATTAATATATAGACCTCAAATTTATGGCATAGGATACTGCGTATATATGCAGCATTCTCTCAAATTTTTAGGCTTATATCGCATACTAGAGGAAAATCGCACTATGCTGAAGATGCAGGTGTTGTCATAGGTGTAGATACTCGAATACTCAAGTAAATGATTTCATCTTTGGAGTATATAAACAGCATGTCTAGAGGCACAGTCCTATCGAAAAATAATAACAAATTTCGCGAGGTAACACAGAAAGCAAGACATGATATTTTTTAGTCGTTCTTTTTTTAATATAGGAAACATTATGATTATGTGTGAGGATCTTATCCTTTTCACAATCACACATGTACTATTGCCCTAATTCTCACTATGATACTAGTACTGACTCATTATAACCACGAAAACACTCAGTAGACCGTCGACAGATACGATCCTGATGAGTAATTAACCTTCAATTCTTGTCAATAAGCAAAAAACTTCTCTTCACGATATTTTCTCAAGAGCGTAGAACAATAATAGAAAAGGGTTCCTATAGTGAAAAAAAAACGACTAAAAAATATCATGTCTTGTTTTCTGTGTTATCTCGCGAAATATGTTATTATTTTTCGATAGGACTATGTCTCTAGACATGGGTGGGGTGTGGGTGTGTGGGGTGTGTGGGTGTGGGTGTAAGTATTTTCTTCAACATTCACACACTCACACCCACCCCGCACCCACACCCACACCCGCACCCTATTTTGAAGATTCTGCTTGAAGAATTGAAGAGAACTTTTGAAGTAGCTCTGCTTTGTTTTGAAGAATAACAGAAAAAAGGCCTAAATTCATACTGTTTCCTTCGCATTCTCTGTCAGTCTAGAAATCAGACAAATGACATCCGTTGAAGGTTACTTGTCTGTGGAATAGAACAAAAGTAGTATGATCGTTTTGAAATGACTAAGTCAAATGGTTCTCACATGCTACTTTTTTTTCGTATTATTCCTAGAAAAGAGTTTGACAAGATCCAAAATAAACTGATCAATATAGTAAATTGATTCTGAATATTTCTCGTTCGAAACATAATGAGATAATAATATCTTAGTGAAGTTCGAGATACTTTTGCATATGTTCTTCTCCTATGATACATAGACATATTGGTATTAGGAATTCTAAAAGAAACATTTAACCGCGTTTCAATAGAGGTATTGCTTATTGTTGTGTAAATCAACCTTCTGAAAAATTTGTTGGAGTATAATCGAATGGCGACATAGTGCGATTGCGAATCTGGCAAGATGTAAATATTCATTAAATAAAAGAGGTAAGGCGAGAATCTAAATGATATTCAATTAACGAAGAAAACAAATATCACATTTTATTGATGAATAAATGTTTTAGTATATAAGAAACATGAGTATTTTGAAATTAATTTTGGTTAAGTATAAAATATAGACCGCCGCTTTTTGACTTTTCGCAAGAACTATGTTCGCCCATCGATCTTTATGCCTGCTTCGTTGGCTTCATTTTTTCAAACACATATTAAAACACTATGATTATCTTTCATCGAAAAAAGAGCGATTTCTATTACACATAATATGACAAATCTTATCTTAGATTATTTTTTTTTAACAGTTGCAGTTACGTTGTGCCGATGTCAACAATACATTTCTTCCTATGTTTGACAAAATCTCGTTTATGAATATGAAGAGTTTTGTGATACCTCTGAATCGAAATCTATTTCTTTTTCTTATGGTAATAATAAACGAAAAAGAAACAATTTTTTAGACCAATTTTTATGGTTATATAGTTAAAATGTCTTTCCTACTTGTCTTGAAAAAAACAATCAACTGTGCGTTTGATATCCAAGATCGTTCTAGTATATATCCACTCATATTCTAAATTTTTAAGCAGAAACGAACAGAACTTCGAATCGATAAAATTGTTTTATGGATAATGACGTAACACACTGTATAGCTACTATTGAAAAATATTTGCTTCTATCTTTGTATTTTCAAACAATGAACAAATTTGAAATTGATGAATCAAATCGAAATCTCGATTAATAATCGATTTTATCGGATATTTTATTTGAAAATCCAGACAAAAAACGAAATGAAAATTAAAAATAGATGATTGAACTCAGCGTGAATTGTATTATTCACCAATTGTTTGACTTGAGACGATTTTATTATCTTTATTCCACGATTTGTCATTTCATCCAATCGTTTTCTGATTGTATCCATAGTAATACCTCGACTTGCATCTTCGACAACGAAAGTCTTATAGTTCAAATCCATAGCATCCAGTGCAGTTGCTCCAACACAAAAATCAAGAGCAAGACCAGCAACGATGACATGTGTCACGTTGCGTTTTTTCAGTTCGGTATCGAGTACTGTTTTTTGACCCTTATTGTTATCTGCAAATGCTGAATAACTATCAATATCTGGATCAGTACCTTTTCTTATATGAATAATATTATTTTTGTCTGGATTAACAATAAGATCTGGATGTAGTTTAGCATCATCGGTATTCTGAATACAATGGGCAGGCCAGAGAACTTGTTCTGTTTCGTATTTCGGACCGGTATATGTTACTGTATCATAGACTTGTATTGATGCATTGTAACCACCTTTGATATAGCGTGTTCGATTTCTCAAATTATCAACAAATGAAATATGATTTACTGGATGCCAATCATATGAATAGACAATATAATCGAATAGTATTGTTTCAATTAAATGATTAATAATTGGTACAACCTCAGCTCCATTTTGACGAGCAGGACTATTAGATAAGGCAAGAGTTCCATCAATAAAACAATTTTGAACATCGATAACAAGTAAAGCATAGATTGGACTCAAGGAAACGTCGGCTACAAATAAGATAGAGAAACAATTATACCAGATAAGATTATGTATCGGATGACTAGTGATAGCTCTTTGTACAGACAACTAATGAAATTTAAGTCTCAAATTTATTGTTTGATGTATTTTTCAACATAATGGAATGAATCAAAAGTAGTCTGATTATGTAACAACAGTCTTTGTATATGAACATCTGAAACCATTTGCATTTTATTCTAGCCAAAATGTTTTGAGGGGCTAGGTCGACAGTGCTCTACAATTTTGGCATAATTATTTTTAATTTTGAAAAGGAGTGCGAACGTTAAGACTACTTTTCGCCCCAAAATATTTTCATGAAATAACTATATGGGAATAACAAGGTCGATATAGGCTACAAATCTAGTGGAGTTATTCTCCTGGAAATGAATTTAGGATTTTCGACCTTTTACCCCATAAGTGTATTGCGAAAGTTGTTTTTTGAAGAACTATTTTTGAAAAGTAACTAGGAATAACAAGTCAACCATGCTGATCACAAATATCACTATCTCAAATCTTGAAAATCTAACATTAAGTCATGCGATGATTTTTCTAGTATCTGACTTTTAAGGCAAAACTTAGGTTTTTGACCCTCGTTTTATATAAATACCGTCCTAAGAGATCTGAAAAAGCATCCATAAGATGTAATTTTTAAAGCTCTATCTGAATCTAGATGAATAAAGATTATCAGAACTAGTCATCTGTTTAAAGCAACCAAATACAGGTCAAAAAATGGTAGTATAAGTGTTTTTGTTCGCTTTTTCAATGCTTTCGATGCATTGAACACTTCTGAACTGCGAGAAGATTGTAACAATTCGATGCAACTTTGCATGCTCTATCGAAAAATATCATTGAACTGTTCAAAAAGGGTTGGTATCATATCTAAAATCGAGATATACGAGCAAAACTAAGTACTCCTTTTTCTCCTACTCGTCGTAAATTGTGTAACTTTGGTATCACTTTTGAATGACCGTTTTCTTTTCATGTTTGTCACAAATGGATATGGATCATCTGTCGATATTGCAGAAGAAGTTTTACTTAAAACCAATAAACCTATTCCATGATATTAGATAAACAATAGATGAACTTGTTTTTACAAACATTTCATGAACTCTGTTTTTTGCCATGCCTATAACTCAAGAATAAGAATGTCTTTTGATCTGGAACTTTTGGTATATTACCCGAAGCTTGAGACCTCTTCATTAGCAAAGCTTGAGGTCAAAGTTCAATCATTCGATTTTTCATGGTATATCCTTACCAAAGGCGACAAAGTCTGTGATACTATCGGAACTGAAAGAGAAAGCGTTATGGAAATAAGTTTCTACGAATTTTTCTACTTATGAAGGATCTTTACTAACACTATTCGTCTTATCTCAAAAATAGTTTCTGATCTCGCCAAAAGGCCTAAAAAATGGCTTTGTTCTATCGACTCACAATTAGTTTATTCAGCTGGTCAGTAAGCGAAACCTATCATATAGCTTTAGGCCGGTGAGGAATGCAATTTTCATACCAGATGTTCAAGTCAAAAGCGGAGTTATGATTACCACGAAAATGATGAGACAACGATCGTTCAAAAGTGATATCAAAGTCAAAAACCTTTAAAAAGGAGTGAGTACTTTTGGTCGTATCTCGCGATTTTAGATATGATACCAACCGTTTTTGAACAGTTCAATGACATTTTTCGATAGAGCATGCAAAGTTGCATCGAAAGCATTGAAAAAGCGAACAAAAACACTTATATTACCATTTTTTTATCTGTATTTGGTTGCTTTAAACAGATGACTAGTTCTGATAATCTTTATTCATCCAGATTCAGATAGAGCTTTAAAAATTACATCTTATGGATGCTTTTTCAGATCTCTTAGGACGGTATTTATGTAAAACGAGAGTCAAAAACCTAATTTTTGCCTTAAAAGTCAGATACTAGAAAAATCATCGCATGATTTAATGTTAGATTTTCAAGATTTGAGATAGTGATATTTGTGATCAGCATGGTTGACTTGTTATTCCTAGTTACTTTTCAAAAATAGTTCTTCAAAAAACAACTTTCGCAATACACTTAAGGGGTAAAGGGTCGAAAATCCTAAATTCATTTCCAGGAGAATAACTCCACTAGATTTGTAGCCTATATCGACCTTGTTATTCCCATATAGTTATTTCATGAAAATATTTTGGGCCGAAAAGTAGTCTGAAGGTCCCTAGTTCTTTGAAGATTTCCTTCTTCATACATCCCTACGGCTTTTATCATTCACTTTGAAAAATCTTTCTGTTTTTCTTGTCGATTTTAAAATTATGAGAAAACTTTATCCTGAAAGTTTCAGTCCGTTTATCGATTTTGAGAGAAAAGCTGATAATTTTGTCGTACTAGCAATTTACATCCAACTTTCTATTCTTTCGAATACAGATCATTTTCCTTGTATGGAGTTAAAAAATGTTGTGTTAAATCATCAACCTGTATCAAGTTACGAACAAACATTGCATAAATCATTTGTTCGAGTGAACGAAACATATTTTGTTTCGTTTACTTCAACAACATTTTCTACGTCTTCTTATTTTGCATCACTGAAAAGAAAAATAAATGATCAAATGTCTCCTTGAGTTGATACTTTCGAAAAAACCAAATATAGCTATCAAATCTCCACTCAACTTGTTGACTGCATCGAAATGAGGACTATGGTATGAGTAACAATGGAACATCTTTTGATCGATGAATGCGAAAAAATCCGAACTACTCTGAAATGCATCAAATCCAGAAATTCTCCTATCGCCGACTATAAAATTTCTTTTAGTGAATGTTGGAACAGAAAATCATTATTCTTACCTTTCGATGTCTGATCATTGAAGGCGACGGCTGTGATACCGAGACAATAGATAGTAAATATTAAGATTGCTAATCGCATTAGTATGAGATATTTCATTTTTGAATATTAATACAAAATGACAGAACTGCACCTGATACGTCGAAATGTCATTAGAGAAGCCCGCAATCTTGCTTTTATATTTGACGTAGAACAACACGAGCAAACTAAGGTGTGTGTAGGTGGTGGAGAGTTTGAGTGTGGGTGAAGAGAATATCGGCATCCAAACTCATACTTACACCCCACATCCACATCCTTTTCCAAAAAAAGGAAAACAAATTTTATTATTATCATTTTGATGAGTTACATATTTAAAAAAATTTCTTTACAACAGATACACATAATTATAATGAATTTTATTTTTTATTGATTTATATCTGGCTTAATACAACTTAAAGAGCGGCTTACAAATATGTATTCCTTTTTTTTAGTTGCATGATTCTTCATTGCAAAAAACTTTAAATACTGATAAAATTACTCTTTATTTTCCTAAATTTTCTACCATCTTTTGTCTGTAAACTCTTTGAAAATAGGGTGTCGGTGTGGGTGTAAACTTGGATGAAAACAATACCCACACCCCACACCCAAACCCACACACCCACACCCACACCCACACCCACACCCACACCCTATGTACTAAAATTAAAAGAAAAATTATTTATACTTAAATGATAACAAAAGAACAAAAACGAGTTTTCATAAATATGCAACCATATACTCAAAATATCTACTAGTCAATAATTTTTAAAAGTCTATCCGTAATATTAATCATGACATACTGAACTGCATACACAGACACTAATTATATTGAATCTTTCTCGAAATCATATTGGAGATCCTGGTGTTCAACAATTAGCAAACGTTCTACAAATTAATAAAGTAAAAAATTCTTCGTTTCATATTTATATCTTTAGTTTTAATTTCGTTGCAGACATTGATCAGTCTACAACTTGCACAAAATCAAATCAGCAAACAATTTCAACGCCACCTGTCTAGGAAAAATTCGAGAATTTCGATGAAATAATATAGGATTTTCAGTGAATTGTACAATTATTATTCTAGAAAATTTTCTTCATTTCTAACTACGTTTTTTTTAAATCTTGTGTATCATAAGAGAGCAAGAAAAAAAAATTATTAAATCCTTGAGTATGTATGTAGTATAAGTAAAACGACAAAATGAAAGAATTAACATATAATTAGGATTACAATGAGTATAAAATGCTGCGGAAGTATCATGGTACATATGTCGAACCTTAAATTCATTTGAAAGAAGAAAATATAAAATATGTTTCATTGTCAGATAATAACTATACGATTAATCAATTCTTTGCTTTTTTCACCAATACTTGACTTTGATCAGATAGCTTTAAAAACATGTGACACGTGAGTGTGGGCAATTGTCTAGCACTCAGCTGACGCCCACACCCCACAACCTCAGTACTGAATCTATTAATTTAACAAAATATGCGATACTACGTAGATAAACATGTAATGATAAATATTTTGTTATATCGATAATAGCACCATCTCTATCAGTCTATTAATAATTGAAACTAAATAACTTTTGTGATGGGGTGTGGAGCGAATGTAAATATAGGTGTGATTATTGGTTTGGATGGGTCTATGAGTAGATGTCCGGAATCTACACCCACACACCTACACCTTTCTGTATAACTTTTCATCGAAAGAGAACTGTTATGAGTACCATTAACCAAAGAAGAATCCAAATTGTTTTTTAAATAATATCATGAAATATAGAGAACGTCATCAAGCCTTGTTTTAAAACACTTTATACCATGAAGCAGTCGACAGCAGCAGCGATTAACACAAATTTGAACTGACTATATTATTAGGCACTATTATAGGAGATTGCAACAGATATGAATGGATGGATTTTATATTAGTAACAATTCTCGAAGTATGGTAGAACACTACATAAGGAGTTCTCACATTTAAGTCTAGACCTAAACGCATCACAGCTTACTTAATTATCTTCAATTTTGGGAACATTCTTTGAGTCGATATTTCCGCTATAAGAAGAAAAAGATACCGATTATAACTAAACTACATTTATGTTAGTTTTCTGCAAGACAGATTTATATTTTCTTCAGTTGCTGACATAGGCGATTGCTGAAAAGCAAGAGTTGACAACAGAATACTTTATATCATTAAAATATGGGTCGATTTTTCCGTATTGATTCAAAACTGAATGCG